GGGGTGGAAATTGTCTAGTTGTCTCGATTTTTTGGAGCTTTTTTGCGAACAAGGGTTATGAAACGTTTTTCGAATGAATACAATCTCTCCAGGGGGAGTTCACGGTTGCTTTCTGCCACGTTTCATTCTTTTTGTCTGGCCTTTTATCGCTGGTTCAATCCCAAAAATGGCGCTATGAAAATATGCATTGCGTTCCGAGACATGCAGAATACAAGGCCAGTTTTCTCAGACGATGCTTGTATGTGATGGAGGACAAAAGCCGCTGCTATTTTATAACATCTATCAACCTGCTGATATGAATGAAGATGAAGAAAAGATTAGCATTGCTTTAAAAAACCGCATTAATATCGTTTTTATGCATCCCGCATGACCTTCTCTGGGTGCAAACAGGAACGCCAAAATGCATAATGAGTTTGGTTTTTTTTTGTACCAGCAAAGACACCACGGTCTGTATGCACGTCAGTCTGTATAGTGGACTAACCGCGTTTATTCCCTATACGAGCATTTACGCTGGAAAAATCAGTATGCACGTCAATCTAGTTAGCCTATCCTAACCGGATTTTGGCCTTTAAAGTTATCACACGTCTGGGGGTCTGACAGTGGCCTAAACGCGTGCAAATATGACTGCCCTTTTGTTTTTCCAAGCACGACAGTGGCGTCTTCTAGGAAGAAACTGGATTTTCAGGGACGGTACTAATCCCTTCGACATTCGACACGTACGACAACAGAGAAGTGTTTCGCACGTTCCGATTTCGTCTGGAGATAACAAATTTGATTTGTCCCCCATGATGGACAATGTCACTTTTTTGTAGGGCACTGGCGCTGGTGCAGGTGCTGGCCCTTTTCCTATTTTCGCCTCCTCTCTCTCTTTGTTGAGAACCGACGCTTTCAGTTAACTCTCCATTTTTCTTTTAAATCCGTTACAGTTCGCATTGCCGCGCTGCATGCGTTCACCTTCGATGTTATTCTCTGCCATATCTCCTTCTCACCTCACTGTTATGGTGGCGCTGTGGCTGCTGAAAAGAGTCACATTTTCTACCTGCAGCTCTTCAAGTAGTCTTTGAATTTCTTCAGCACTGAAGTACACTTTTCTGACCCTTTTCGCAACTTTCTCCGCCATGGTGCACTGTTCAGAAACTCCCTCGTGTGGTTGGAAACCGAATGTCCGAAAGCACATAGCGACAGCAGAGTGGGTTTGTCCAATAATCTATAAATATCTCACATTCCACTTTCCTTTTAGCTATACCTTTCCGTTTAGCGCGATGTGCATACAAAATCTGGTTAAGGTTTATACGCGGTTAGGGCCCGTACAGTTAACTGCGTTTAAGCTCTAAATGTGTTTAAGCTAACCGGTCCTGACGTGCATACAGGCCCAGCGCTTTACGACAAGAGGCCACTGCAGAGCACGACTGCCATCTTACACCAAAAAAATGTCGGCTTTCTAAAATGTCAAAGAGGAATGCGCGGATTGGCGCAAAAAGCAAATCTAACAGTGCATCCACTAAATTAGGCCAAATACCTCTTTTTGTCTGAACTTATGGCATGTTATAGACGTGACTGCCTCAGGAGATTCTATAATTTGGAAAAAGAGCTCTCTTCTGCTCTCTGAGTAATTCTGGCCGAAATTGAGAAATGTTATAGTTTTAACACCCCTTTCAACACTGTTAAGTTATTTAAGAGGCGAGGCCTCGGAGATCAACGTCCATCTCAGAAAGGACCGAGCCAACAGAGAATTCATGTAAAATGCTTTTCCCAAAGACACAAAGTCAGTGAGGCTCGAACCCCCGATCCCACAACCGCTCGATGACAGGTTAGGCAGCCCAACCACCGGGCTACCGACTCAGTATATTTTGGCCGATAATAAGACAGAAATTACATTTTTTTAAACCAGGAATATTTAGCAATATTTTGCGGATTAAGGCCGCATACTAACGAATAAATTTTAATGGTACCGCACAGTTGTAGCGGGAAAAGAGTCTCTCTGGTCAAGGTCTTATTAACGTAGCTAAAAAATAAATTAAATATGTTTGTTTTCAGTTTCAGGCGACCGAGTCGGGCGATCGAACCGATCCAGCTGTAATTGGCACCCCCGTATAAAGGCTCTAAATTGTGTTAATGGGAGTGTAAAACAGTAAAAGCAACCATTCGCTTTGCGTGAAACATTCTGTTGCAAAAGTTAACTGTTCGCCAATTTCCCTAGATGAGCAGATAGCAGTTGACTCACCTTCGTTGTAGTACGGTGGAATTTTCGGGTCATAGTCGTTGCTGGACAGAATGCTTGACAAGACTCTTGCTGCTCTGTTGCCCGTGCACATTGCCAGAAAAAAAGAAAGAAAAAGAAAGAAAAAAGAAGTTGCTATTTCGCGTGTGCATTGGTGTACTCTCGTGTAGCATGTGTTTATGCATGTATTATTTTATGTACGTGTGTGTGACTAGTGTGTGTGTGTGGGGATATGCGTGTATATATATATATATAC